AATGGTTCATACCACTGTGAATGCAGTTTATGCAAGAAAAAGTTCATTCAACAGTCTGAAACCGGCAGATGTTTTTCACCGATGGACACCAGAAGTGTTCACGAGACATGTTTTCTCAAAAAATACAGTAACGTCTGAAATAGCTAATCAGTTGACACTGCAGGTCAGAACCAACGCGATCTCACAGTAATTCGTAACTTTTTGATTTAGTGGCTAATTCGTATGAATTCGTACAGTATCTCATTCGTTCAATTTTGTAACATTCGCTCATCCCCCAATGAAGGTTGGGTTTAGGGGTGGGTTTTTGGTGCCACGCCTCCTCGTTATTTTTTTAATAATTATTTTTAAGGGGTTTTAACCTTTATTGTGATAGGACAATGAAGATTTACAGACAGGAATGTTTGGGGAGCAGAGATAGGGGAAGGGTCATCAAAGGACCTCGAGCCAGGAATCGAACTCGATCAGTGCTACGGTATGTGCTGATGCTAGGGATGGAATTTAACCGTTTTCAAGGTATACCGCGGTTTGGAAAAGTCAAGGTTTTAAAACCGCCAAAATTTTCTACTATAACCTTCCTAAGGTATATGAAAGATTTTTATTTATTTATTATTATTATTCTTTAAAGGACAACAATATCTCCAGCAGAAAAGATCTCCAAAGATACCGTTTTAAATTTTAAAGAATTCTGAAACAAATGTAGACAGCAGAAGTCTATGATGCATTTGAATTATTTAGCCTGACATGTTTACTGTTACAAAATACTTAAAATGTTTCTTAAAATAAAATATACTGTTAAAAAGTCATTATATTTTACCCAGACATTTAAAAATAATATATTTTAGAGCAGTAATCAAGGTTATCATACCGTCAGAATCATATACCAGCCCATGCCTAGTCGATGCACTTACCACTAAGCTATTGTCGCCGACCTTTTTAAAATGGGACATTTTCTTATATGAATTAGCCACTAGACTGACAACGTAAAATAGTTTAGTTTCCTCGTGAGATCAGGCTGGTCAGAACACTCTAAACATCCCTCAATCACCAAAAACTTCAAATACATTTTATTACTAAATTAGATGTAATTTAAATTAACACATAAATTCAATTCACTGAAGCATGTACTAACTATCATTACCGAAAAAATTGCCCCTCCAATTGTCAATGTATAATTCGCACACTGCATTTACTCTTACGCCCCATTTACACGAGGCGTCAGCGTCAACGCTTCCCATTTACTTTGAATGGGTGACGTCAGGCGTTGCCGAACTGCATTGTGGATCCGTTGGCACCGCTTCAGAGGTGTTGCTCGCAACAGAAGTTGCGACTATCTCATCTTTTCAAGCGCAGACGGAAGCGTCAGCCAATCAGATCGCTGTATGCAAATACACCAACTAGACAGTGGCCTATTGCTGACTGAATTTCATCGGCTAACGCTGCGATGACGATCGCTTCAGCCTCAACTTCAGACACGCCTTCAGTCAAACGTTAACGCTGAAGCCCCGTGTGAATGGGACAATAGAAATAAAAAATATTGTGGCTGAAGAGGCTAACTGACGTCAACAGGATTGCTACTCCAAACGCAGAAGCAAATACTCTTCTTTTGATTGAAGATTAAACAAAACAAACTTTTTTTTTCAGCCAGATTTAATATTTACCTAAAGAATAACAATGTGCGCTAGCAAAATAAACATTGTAAAGTTATTTACTAATGGCATTCATACATTTTTTCAAGTGTGGCTTAAGTGTGGCCCACTGTATAAGAAAAAAGCCATTTAAAGCAACATCGACGCCTCAGTGACTCGAAGTCCTTCGCAATTGGTTACAAAACAAGAGTAGTCCATAAAGCGTACATGGAAAGAGGTATAAAAAGTCGACTGCAGACCAGCTGAAGGGAGTTCATCTCGACACAGACCCAACGTTGCATGTAACACACCAACACAACCAAAACAATCAGGCATCATTCCACCTAAACACTGCAAAAGCCACCGATTATAACATTCATATCATGCACTTATAAATTCACCTGGAAACATCGATTCATAGCAACGGCTTCTTGACATCCTTCAATATTGAGCATCTGAACGCAGATGTGTTTCATATTATACACATCTCTAAAGATTGTCAGACTTCCCCAATAAGAAAAATTCAACTCAAATTAATGTAAATGCATAATTGAACCAGGTTTCTCAAGTCAATACACCAATCGGAGTGTGTAAACCATTGTTTCTCAGATCTTTGTACACTGACTATGCATTTTTTTTAACACTTTAAATTTATAAAGCATCTCCGAAAGCTTGTTCTGATGTCTCTTCGGGTGTACTATTGATGAGTCTCTCTTGAATTATAATGATTTCTTCATAGGTTTTTGTCTGGGATTAGTGGTTATACTTTAATGATCTTTTGGATCTATATATCAATGACTATCAAGAGCAAAACAAAATAATTGGGAGCTGTTTTAAAACTGCTAACCCCCTAAAAGGACTTGATGATGGTTAGGGATGATGGAGCAAAAGTTGTCTTTGAATGTTTCTCTTGCAAAAAGTATTGACGTAATATAAGGTTGTAGGAATTGCTGCATCCCAAATCACATACCGTTCGTCACCAAATAGCAGTCAAAAACAGAGTCTGTTCCAAGTCATATGTTAAAATAACTATTCCAATGTTACACGGATGCGCTAATATTTCCGGTAGACATTCAAAGTGCATATGTGTGCATACACTAGTAGCTAATATTGCCCACAATACATCACGCATTGAATGTGAGTTCAGTTAGAACTACAAACATGGATGCAAACTGTTAAACTACAAACTCTTCTGTTACACACTCAAAAGTATGCACTTTTATATAAGACGCAGTGTAAGTGGGCAAATTGGGATGCAGTATTTATTTATTTATATATATTATACAGGGTGACTACATTTATATGGATACACCTTAATAAAATGGGAATGGTTGGGGATATTAGTGTCCTGTTTGTGGCACATTAGTATATGAGGGGGCAAAATTTTCAAGATGGGTAGTGACCATGGTGGCCATTTTGAAGTCAGCCATCTTGGATACAACTGTTGTTGTTTTTAATAGGAAGAGGGTCATGTGACACATCAAACATATTGGGAAATTCACAAGAAAAACAATGGTGTGCTTGGTTTTAACGTAACTTTATTCGTTCATGAGTTATTTACAAGTTTCTGATCACATATAAAATGTCTTCAATGCGCCATCCATTGTGTTGGATTGTCAATGCAACCCTCTTCTCCCACTCTTCACACACTGATAGCAACACCGCAGGAAAAATGCCAGCACAGGCTTCCAGTATCTTTAGTTTCAGGTGCTGCACATCTTGTATCTTCACACCGTAGTCAATTGTCTTCAGATGACCTAAAAGATAAAACTCAAAGGGGTCAGATCAGGAGACCTTGGGGGGCCATTCAACTGGCCCACGACAACTGTTCATCTAGGAATGCTCGGGCCCTGACACCCTTAATGTGTTGGTGCA